CCCTCGCTCCTGTGATCTACCTCGGCCTGATGCCTGATGCCGATGAGCGCAGGGAACGCCACGGGAACACCACGCGCTGGTGATAAACCAGCGACTGGTTCGGCCGGGGCGCGGGCGCGGCGTTCGGGCGCTAGTCGGGGGGCCTTATTTCACCCCTACAACATTCTTGGCTGCGCCGCTACGCCAATGATTGCCTCGCGGTTGCCTCGGGGCGGTCATGGCTACGCCCATGGCAGGCGCCGTGTCCACACTACGGGCCAAGATCAGGGCCGGGCGAGAGAGGCCCGACCCGACCCGGGCGGTACGCTGAGTGACCCTTTGACAGGCGACGCAGCTCGCGCACCCGCAGGCTGCCAACCGCACCGGCCGCGCTGCCAACAAACTCTGTCGCAGCAGGCTGCCCTTTTCCCACTGATTCCTCTTCTTTTTCGCTTTCCCTTTTTAGTTTGTTTTCTTTTTTCGGCATTGGCTTGGGTGTGTCGGTGTCGCAGTTCGGTTGAATCTGGTGTGTGTGTGGCTTTGGTGACCGGATACCCTTGCAGTTTGATTCTTTAATCGCATCTCCTTGTTTGGCACACCCCTTATCCTCTGCCCTTTCCAATTTCTAAACTTTTTCTTTGTACCTCTTTTTTTTCTGGCCGTATTGGAGCGGTCCTCATCTTTGATGATTTTTGTTTTTGCTCAGACGCACGCCCTTTAGGTCCCCGTTGGTTTTCGCGACGTATGTCTCGTTTTTGTCCCGCCCGTTCGTCCAGCTCCGCTGCCACTGGGGAGACGCGTGCGGCGCGTCGCAGCGGCGGCCCTGCTCTGTAATTGGTTCGGCACTTAAGTGTACAATTGGTAATTATTTGGGGTAATTGCAGTAGTACATACTATGTCTAGGACGTGACGGAATTGAACTTTTTTTCCCCTTGAAGTTTTTTCTCTCTTCTCTCCCTATCTGGACCGGGTGCAGCAGCCGTGCCTTTTAGTGGCCTGCTGACGCGTGGCGTGGGTGTCCTCCTCGTCGATGATCGGCTTGTCCTCCTCCTCCTCCTGGACCCTCTCGCTGGGCTCCAGTACGTCTGTACTTGCGGACTCCTCTTGGACAGCGTGCGTGGAATGCACTGAGCCGGTGCTGGCCGCTCTCGCCAGCCGCACTGCAGGCCGCCGCCCATTTCCTTGTCGTCCGTTGATTGGTGCGGTGTGTGTTGCCGGCTGCAATTATCAAACCTTAATTCAACCTCTTGTTTGCGGTTTTCCTCACCGCCCCTCCTCGCCCTCCTCCTCCCTCCGCCCACCCCCCCTCTCCACCAGCATAACGGAGTAGAGCTATAGTCTGATTTGCGAACGAATATAAAGTATTTTAAAGTGATGTGGACATTGTTTGGACTTGTCATTACGCAAGAAAGGTCCTAGCACATCGAAGCACGTCGTCCTTTGAATGTGTCGAGGACGCCCATCAAGAAAATTAAAGAAAAGTTGAAGATAAACCTGGAGAGCAAACTTTGAGGTTAGACGGCACGGCACGGAGGATCAGCTGATGGGGAACATGGACCCTGAAACGTGCACATCCTGTAAAGAAAAGTTGCCAATTGATTATGTAACATGCAGCCAAGGATGTGTACTGCATTTTAACACCTGTGCCGGCCTAGCAGAGGGTACCTGGCGCAAGATGAGCAATAAGAGTGAATGGAAATGCCCAACTTGTCGCAAGCCAAAACCAACTGAAAGCGCAGTAACATCTGCTGAACTAAGGCAATTCATGAATACGGTCACTGAAAAACTAGCCCCGGTCCAGCAAATAAGTGGACTAAAAGCATCTATGGAAGAGCTGAAGAATAGTGTCGACTTCATGAGTAGTAAATATGATGAGGTGTTATGCAAAGTCGCTGACTTACAGAATCAAAATGCGGAACAAGCAGCTACATTAGATCTACTTAAAACAGAAAATGAAGAAAAAGAAAAAGTCATTGAAGAACTAAAAATTCGCATGAGAGAGGCAGAGCAGTATGCCAGAAATAGAAACATTGAAATCAGTGGTGTTGAATTTATTAAAGAAGAGAACCTGATCACAGTCATGGAGAATCTAGCTGAACAACTTCAAATAAGATTTAAAGAAAATGAGATTGATGTCATACACAGAGTTCCCTCTCGCTACAATGGTACTAGGCCTCCGAAGATAATTGTACAATTTACCACTCGTAAGGAGAGAGATTTTTGGCTAAAACATAAGAAATATGCAAGTGTTTTTAGTAACGACATTACAAATGGGCAATCAGTCTCCCAAGTGTACTTGGACAAACACTTGACTGCTGAATGGAAACATCTCCTGTGGCAGTCAAAACAGGTTGGCCGTCCAAAAGGATACAAAATATTTTGGCATCAAGACAGCAAAATATGTGTCAAAAAGAATATAAATGAAGAACCAATTATAATCAGGACTGCTCAGGATCTTCAAAAGCTGAACTAAGTAAAATATTGAATCACTAATAAAATCTAAGTTAAATTTAAGTTAAACACACCAAAATGGATTGTTATCTGCAGAACCTCACCTCTAAATTTGAAAGAAAATTAAAAATTTGTCACTTCAATGCGGAGTCTCTGTGTGAATCTAGTCATCATAGTGAATTCCTCACACAATTTTCAAACTGTGGAATGGACATAATAGCCATCTCCGAAACATTCTTCAAGTCTAATAGTGATAAACATCTACCCAACTACGAATGTCATTCATGTGACAGGGTACACAGCAAAGCATCTGGTGGAGTTGCTATCTATACAAAAGAATGCTACAAAAGTAAGGTATTACATTCAACTGATGGAACATATGGACGACCAGAATTTATAGTGATTGAAGTCATAATAGACACAATGAAAATTTTATGTGCTTGTATTTATCGTCCACCTGGGGTGGGACATATGGAAGATTTTACAAAAGTTATGAGTGAATATATTGGTGACTATAAACACTACTTTGTATGTGGAGATGTTAACGGAAGATTTGGGAGTGGAGAATGGGATACCAGAAATATTATAGAAAATCTTGAACAGTGCAATCTGGAAGTGGTTGAACATGGACCAACCTACCACATTGGGCAATGTCACTCTACCCTCGACATTATAGCCTCAAACTGTAATGAGCTCTTAATGGAGTATGGACAAAGAGAGAACCCGGGGTTCTCAAGCCATGACTTGTTGTATGCAGTCTATAACCTAAGTACCCCCAGAGTAGCAAAGAAAACAATAACATTCAGAGACTTCAAAAATATTGAGGTAAATAAATTACTTAATGAAGTTAATGAACTACCATGGGAACATATTTACTCCTGTGATAACATAGATGATAAAATTGCTCTGTTTAACTCATTAATTATGGATCTTCTTAATAAACATGCACCTTATAAAACAGTTAAAATAAAAGATTACAACGAGCCATGGATGACCAATGAACTAAAGAAGGGAATGAAACATAGAGACAAGATATGGAAGAAATACAAACGTACAGAGAAACAAGAGCACTATGAAGAGTTTAAAAAATTGAGAAACATATGCAAGCAGCAAAATAGAAATGCTAAAGCACAGTACTATAGAAATCTGTTTGGAACATCCAAAGACCCAAAATACATTTGGCCCAAAGTAAAAGAACTTGGTATAGGGGGCTGGGAAAAACTAAAAGTGCCAATAATGCCAGTTAATGATCTGGTCAACCACTATGCAAGTGTGTCATCCATCAAATTTCCACATGAAGTAGACAATTGTATAAGAGATTACTCAAATATGGACAGCAATATGAAAATGGATGATCAATTCTACTTTAGGTATGTGTTACCATCTGAAATCCAAAATGAAATAGGCACAATCAAATCTCAAGCAAAAGGAGTGGATCAGATACCCATCTCTTTCATCAAACTGTGTCTTCCCTGTATTATGCCTGTACTAGAACACATCTTTAATTATAGCCTACAGAATAGCCAATTCCCTACTTTATGGAAACTTTCTAATATTCTTCCCATCCCCAAAGTGGGTAAACCCAGTGCATGCAAAGACTATAGACCAGTTAGTATATTGTGTGTACTATCAAAGCTGTTTGAAAAGTTAGTATATAGCCAGGTGGCAGGATTTATTGAAAATCAATCCATACTTTCACCTTATCAATCTGGATTCCGAAAAGGATATAGCACGACAACTGCATTACTGAAAGTGACAAGTGATATAACTTATGCAATGAACGAGAGCCAACTAACTATTTTAGCGTTGCTTGATCTAAGCAAAGCCTTTGACTGCGTACATCACAGACTCCTAATACAAAAAATGAGAAATATTGGCTTTTCTAAATCTGTCTGCTGCTGGTTTAAATCATACTTGGAGGGAAGAAAAATAAGAGTTTATGTTGATGAAAGCAATGCATCTGAATGGATGGAGATAATAACAGGGGTACCACAGGGTAGTGTGCTTGGCCCTCTCCTTTTCCTCATCTACCTTTATGATTTACCACAAGAGATTACTGATTGTTCATATCATCTATATGCTGATGATGTACAACTGTACACACATTTCCGCCTTGCTGAACTGCAGAAGGTAACGAGAAATTTATCAAGTAGCATCACTCAACTTGTTACGTACTTCAAGAGGCATAATTTAATTCTCAATGTTGAAAAAACTCAAGTAATGCATATTGGATCCTATAACTTAATTGCAGCTCTGGGCAAAACCTGTATACCTCAAATGGTCATAGAAGGAACAACGGTGGAGTATGTAAAGGAGGCAAAAAACCTTGGCATAATTTTTGACTCCAATTTGAACTGGGGCAAACACTGTATCCTTATAGTGAAGAGAGTCTTTAGCACTCTAGCCCAACTCCGAAGAAATATGCCATTCATTCCCTGGTCTGTAAGGAAGCAACTTGTACAAGCTCTGATCCTACCACATTTTGAGTACGCACTAACTCTTCTACCTGGACTGACTGAGCAAAATTTAAATATACTCCAAAGAGCCCAGAATGCTGCAATAAGATTTATCACCAATACTCCAAGATACGAACACATTACTCAGGATTACAGAAACTTAAATATAATGAAAATCAGTGAGAGAATCTCATACAAAGTAGCCATATGCATCTGGAATATCATGAAAACCCATTCACCAACATACTTATTTGACATTTTTGATGCCCTCGAGAATACTAAAACGTTAAACACAAGATCCAGCGAAAAAGCCTTAAAAATGCCAAAATTCAATACAACCACCTTA